CCCCCCCCTTTCCTGTCTCACCCTGATCCACTATACCCTTCATCCTTTCCAACCTGATTTTCCCGACTCAAACGAGCGGGTTTTTTCTTCGGGCCTTTCCTCGCTTCCTCACTTTGTGTAGTATCCTTGGTCTACATGGGCTTAATAGCTCGACATGACTTGAAACAAGACTTATCTATCTATCTATCCTCCCCCGTCATCCTCCTGCCTCCTTCTCTTGCCGAGAATCCCTCCATCACCTCACCATCGGAAGCAAGCTGATCTTACCTCGCTTTTGCCTGCGCGCAGTATGCTATCATCAGAGAGTTCAATCTGGTCGCTCTCAGCAAGGACCAATCCCGGTTGACGGGTCATGCCGCGACTCGGAAAACCGACGATGGTAGGAACGGACTTGCCGCGGGGCAACGAGGTGCTCTTCCCCGGCTCTTTGGGTTCCGCTTTGGCCCACAGTTGGAGCTGGATGGTGTACACCAGTAGAGGAGCAGAGATGGAATACTCATTATACATCAACAGGTTGGCGAAGTCTCGGAACACGAGCAGAGATCTTTGGACTCGAAAGCAGGCAAGTCTGACCCGTACACCCCGTCGCACGGGCCGTACCCCCGTACTGTACGGGGTACGGGAGGCCCGTGCCCGTATGCTTCCCCGGCGGCCAAAAGTCGGCATTTTTTGCCCCGTGCCCGTTGCACGGGAGGGCACGGGTACGGGACAACATTCTCTAGACGGCCGCATCCGCGAGTTCCGCGCCCTCGACCGTCCACAGCGCAATCGAAAGGCGCCTGCGTTTCATGACAAGTACGTCATTCCGGCGGGACGGCGTAAGACTGGCGCCGAAGCCATCTTCGCCGAACGCGAGGGGAGCGATGAAGAGGAACCAATGCCCCCTCTGATCCCGATCAACGACGCTGCCCCTCCGCGAAGCTCCGAAAAGAGAGCAAGGCCCTCATACAGCCCCATCCGCGCACGCGCGCCCGGGGAGGGAGCAGTAGCAGAACCGGACTTGGAAGCGCACGCACCGCTTCTCGTCCCTCCAGCTCCAGCTCGACCGAAGGCGAAAAAGAAAGGTCGAGGTCGTCAAGCCAAAGCCAAGAAAGGCTGGACCGATAAAGCAGAGAAAGTCCGCACGCTTCGAGCAGAGCAGGCGTGGGAAGAGTCGAAGGACGAGATCGATCCCTCGTGGCTGCCCCACTTCCTCGAAGAGCTCTCGAAAGCGCAAAGACGTGACGTCGACTTCGGAAAAGTCTTATCGGACATAGATGCCTTTGACGAGTACACGATTGACAAGCAAGGACTACTTTGGCAGCACGACGATGAGTTGGGCGAACGCTTGTGCATTCCGCAAGGAACTTTCAACGGCAGGAGCTTCCGAGAAATTTATCTCGAACACGTGCATAGCGTTCTCGGGCATTCAGGCACCACCATCATGTTGCATACGCTGCGGCAGATGGCTTACTGGCCCTTACTTGCGAAACATGTTCGAGAGTACTGCCGCACTTGCATTCCCTGCCAAGCGTGCAAAACAGAGCGCGCGAGGGCTCGCGGAAAGCTACACGCGATCAAACCGCCCACCCGCGCATACGAACAGATCAGCATCGATTTCACCGGACCTCATCCGACCAGCTACGATGTCGAGGGCGTGCCGAGAAATTACATTTTCACCGTGATCGACGCGCCACCGGAGAAGCGAAGCTGATTCCCTGCCATCAAACGGGACTTACAGCCGAGAAGTGTGCAAAGATCTTCTTGGAGAAGGTATACCCCTCGTGGGGCGTTCCGAAGCGGATCCTCTCGGATCAAGATGCGCGCTGGGTTTCGAGTTTCTGGCAAAGCTTCCACAGCGCGATCGGAACCACGCTCAGCATGTCCACAGCTTATCATCCGCAGAGTAATGGAAAGGTTGAGCGCTTGCACGCCACTATGAACGCGATTTTCCGACAGCTCGTCTCGGAAAATCAATCGGACTGGGCGTCAATGCTGCCGCATGTAGAGTTCGCAGTCAATTCTACAAGGAACGCCTCGGGCTCTAGCCCATTTGAGCTCACGCGCGTATTTCCGCCGAGCGTCATGCCCTCTGGACTCAGAGCCTCCGGTGACGACGATGTCGATGAGCTGCTCGAGAAGGCTAAGATGCGCAATGAGTTGGCCAAAGATCTCCTCGCAAGAGCGCGCATAGAGCAGACTTATTTTGCAAACTTGAAGCGTAGACCCGATCATATCCCGCGGGGAACTTTGGCCGAGGGTCTCGGCAAGGAAGAGGCCCAAGCGTACTGGGTCCGAACCCACAATTGGCGGACGGTTATCGGACGTTCCCGATCCTTCGTTCCTCCCTACGACGGACCGTTCCGCTGCATACGCTACGACCCAAGCAACTCGACTTACGAGCTCGCTCTTCCGTCTCGATACACCTCTCGTGGGATCTCGCCGATCTTCCACGCGTCCCAAGTAAAACCGTACGTCGCTTCCGACAACTCTCTCTTCCCTGAGCGGAGGTTTGACTCGGTCCCCTGGTTCCCTCTTGATACAGTCGAACCTATGGCTACTCCCACCAACGCCAACGCCCCCGCTGCCGCCTCGAGCGCACCGGCCGGCACACTCGACATGTGCAATGCCGCGAACGTCGATCGCTACCTCGACTACTTCACCGACGTCGAGGACGGCAAGCGATCGGTCACGCTCTACACCAAGTTCTACGGCGGAGCGTACCGCTACGTCCAGGGCGGGACCTACGGCCACACGGCCCAGGCCCCAAAGCTCGTCGAGTTCGCGCTCGAGCGAACTTTCGGCAAGACCGCGGACTGGTCGAAGTTGCCCGACCGCTCGCACGAAGACCACGTACGTGAACGAGGTCTTGAATCTGAGCTTGCAGAGCTTCGTGAGCTGAAATCTGTCTACAGGTCAACCGCCAGCGCGAGTTTGAGCAGCGCCGCTCCAACAAGACCCACAAGATCAAGTCGGGAGGAGGCCCCAACAAACCGGCCAACGACACGGCCGGAGCACAGGGGCGCCAGCCCCGCGCCGTCACCGACGTCACGCTCAAGCAGGAGTACAACAAGGGTTGGGCGGACGGCACCAGGGACGGCCGGAAGGCCGCCCTCGACGAGCTCAAGATTCCCGCCGAGATTGCCGACGCGTACCGACGCGCAATGGACTATTTTTCGACGGGAGGAGCCTGCCCAGAGTACCACTACGAGGTCCCCGGCGCCATGGTCGTCTTCATTCGCACCTCCGAGTTCGACAACTGGTCGCGCTGCTGGGTCGGGGTCCCAACCTTCGCCTCGCTCGGCATCGTCTTCCCATTCTAAGTCTCTTCCTCTCTCTTTCTTTTCGAACGTCACTAACACTACCTCCGATTGCAGATGATATCCTACACCGCGCTGGTCACAAAGCACCGGCCGCCGCCTCAAGACGCCGTCGCCCAACTTAGGTGGTGTTGGTGGAACTTCTCGCTCGGACTTGGTCGTAGCTTCCTCTCTCTTTAGCACTCCACCCCCCCTCGCTCCTATCCTCTCAAAATCTATACTTGAGTCACTGTTTATTGGCTCTGGCCCGTCTACGACTCGCTACGCACGTCTCCGACTAGCTACGACCCAGAACTGAGCAGGACGCCTTCTCTCGCATCGAGCTCGAGAGCGGTGCGCCCTGCACGCGCGCCGACTTTGACCAACGCTGCGCCGAGGCGGATGCCTCTCGCAAGCGCGCACGCGAGGAGCAACAGCAGCGCGACTATGCGGCCGCGACTCGCGACATCCCAGGCTTCGGGATTCAGAGTCCGCCGAAGCGAGTCCGTCCCGACGAGCCTCGCCGCGCATCGCCCACTCCGTCGATCAGCTCGACCGTCACCGGTCTCGCTACCGCCACGCAAGGACTCTCGACTTCCGAGGATGGCAAAATGGAGGAGTAATTACAGGGACTACTACGGAACATGGTAAGCTTCCCGCTTCTCGCCCGGGGAGGATGTCAGGAGGCGAGCGGCCGATCACTCGCTCGTCCATGCTTACGCACACCCCGCTCCTGATCACCTCTCGGCACCCGACACTCCACACTGTACCCCGTCCCTCTCTACTCTCGGCACCTCCCTTTTCCCTCGGTGTTTCTCTCCCCTTCTATATCCGATCCCTCTCTTTTCCCTCGCTCCTCTCGTCGCTCTCCCTCTCTCCCTCTTTTCTCTTTCTTCGTCTACTCTCGAAGATCCCTTCCCCCGTAGATCCTTTATCTACTCGTGACCTAGTATTGCAATCCCCGCTATACACCGTCACTTCTGCGCACGCCAAACCCGAACTCTCGTTAGCGTCGCTTTGAGCTCCTCCCCTCGAGTCGGCTCATCTGGCGCTTACAGTGAGCCTCGAGGTGGGTGCGCGAGAAAGAGATTTGAAGCGCCTTCGAGAGCCCTAGTCGAGGGTAAGTCAAGTTGGGCTCAACGAGGGCTTGAGAACCCCATTGTCAAGTCCGTGGGGGAGTCTCAGCCGTAAAGACCCCCTGTTCAAGCCCCAGCGCAAAGTCACTCTCAAGCACAGCCAGAACTGGTGTCTCCCCACCGGCCTGGAAGAACCTCCTACCTGAGAGACATGCAAAGGATCTCAAACAGCCCCCTCGCAGCTTGCAGGGAACCTGGATGAATGACAGAGGCAGCACAAGGAAAAGTGTGCGCCAGGAGTGGGGCGGGTCAAACAGAAAATAACTCAAAGCTGTTCCTATTGGTAAAGATGGACTCGGCTAACATGAAGCGTTGTGGCGCAGTTTGGCAGCGCGTGGGGCTCATATCACTTGAAACCCCAATGTCCTTGGATCGAAGCCAAGCAACGCTACATTTTTTTTGGTCGCCTACCAAGGCCTTTTTCCTTTTGCGTCCTGTCGCACTTAACAGAGTGGCCTTGTCTTTGATCACTCTAGTTTCTGTGTATTGCTTATGCTCACATTAATGCTTCAAGCCTGGTCCCACCTGTATGCATAGTGGTCCAAAAAGAGGTGATCCGGGAAACAAAAGGGTGCGCTGCTATTCCCCTTGCCAAACAGGCTTCCTCCTTTGCGTATGGTGAGCAAGTCCGTCGAGAAGAGGTGCACAGAAGTGCACAGGGCAGTAAGAAGCAAAAAGAAACCGACCAGAGCAGGATTTGAACCTGCGCAGGCAAAGCCTAATAGATAGCGAGTTCATTCGAGTCTATCCCCTTAGACCGCTCGGGCATCTGGCCATTATGCACAGATGCACAGATTTAACATATACATCAGGCTATTGGCGCTGCCGACCCACAGGGCCGCAAATCAAGTCCATCCAACATCCCCGAACCGCGTGTGTGGTCTCTTTTCCGTTCGTAAAGGCCCGATGCAACCTCCGCGAGCCAGCCAACGTCCACCGTCCGCGGCAGCATAAATGTTCTGAGGCGGTGCAGAGGCCGGCTTCACGCGGAACGACAAAAGTTTGAAAGCTCGCTGTCCTGACATTCACGGTCGTGGGTCCCTGCACGCAAAGCCTTTCAGTGCTCCTCGATGTTTCGCCTAGCACGCTCCACGCTGAGGCTGGCCGTCCGTGCCCCCGCGGTCCTTCCGCCGACGCGCCTGGCACCAATATCGTGGATCCGAGCCGATCCAGCTCTTCGACTCGGTGTGTGGCAACCTCTCTACTGCCTGGCGCAGCGCCGAGCTGACGAACGATATTTACCTCTAGCTCGCCTGCATGCCGCGCAACTTCGGACGTTTGCCAGCTCGTCTTTCCGGCTCACAGAAGCGGAGGCTGCTGCCGCATCTACTGGACTCCCCGTCGACAAGACCTATCAGTCGATCAAGGCGGCCCTTCATGCACCTGTCTATCGCGCGGTCACGGAAAGGTACGTCATCCGATTGGCCGGCGAGATGTGCGAGATGAACCGCCAGAGCTAATAGCCCAATCTTGGGATTCCATCGCAGGCCTTTCAAGTACGATACGATGACGGACGTCCAGGCCGCCGTCATGTCCCGCCTTCCTCGCCTCTCGGCCTCGCCCGAACTCTCGGGAGAAGGCGACGCCGTCGAGCACGCTCAGGATCTGCTGGTCCGAGCGAAAACCGGCACGGGCAAAACTCTCGGGTTTCTCATTCCCGCGCTCGAGGGACGGTTGCGGAACCTGGAGAACTTCCTTGCCACTTACAAGGAGGAGAACCCGGACGCCAAGCCGATAGAAGCCAAGAAGGCCCTCGCTGCTTACGCGAAATCGACCGTCGGCGCCCTGATCTTGTCGCCAACGCGCGAATTGGCGACGCAAATCGCCAACGAAGCGATCGCCTTGACGACGCACTTGCCGCAATTCGGCGTGCGCCTTCTCGTCGGAGGGTCGTCGAAATCGGCGCAGCTTCGCGAATGGTACCGGAGCCCGAGCAACGACATCGTGGTTGCGACGCCCGGACGCTGCGTCGACCTGCTGCAGACAGAGTCGATGATCCGCAAGCCGATCGAGAACGCACGGATGTTGATCCTCGACGAAGCCGACACGCTCCTCGACATGGGTTTCGCCGACGACATCGCGTCGGTGACGCAGCACCTGCCGGACACCGCCCACCGACAAACGTTCTTGTTCTCGGCCACCGTGTCCAAGTCGATCCGAGAGGTCGCACGGAAGAGCTTGAAGAAGGACCACGAGTATATCGACACGGTTCCGGTCGACGAGGTCGACACGCATCTCCACATCCCGCAGTACCACACCATCCTCCCGTCTGCGGCCGACCAAATGGAGCACATCCTTCGACTCATTGCCCACGACCAGCTTCTTTACGCCCGCGACGCCGCCAAGAACGGTGGTACCGGAGGCGGCAAGACGGTGGTCTTCCTCCCGACCACTCGCCTGACGCAGCTGTTCTCGCAAATCCTGTCCTCGATGAAGACGCACCTGCCGTGGGGACGCGACACACTCGTGGTCGAGATCCACTCGAAGAAGACCCAGGAGCAACGGACTCGGGCGTCGGACATGTTCCGGCGCGCGTCGACGGGCTACTCGGTACTCGTCACTTCGGACGTGTCGGCTCGCGGAGTCGACTATCCCGGCGTCACGCGTGTCATCCAAGTCGGAATCCCGGGTTCGCGCGATCTGTACATTCATCGCGTCGGCCGAACGGGTCGTGCCGGCAAGGCTGGGCGCGGCGACCTCGTCCTCCTCCCGTGGGAGAGCGGCTTCGTCTCGTGGCAGTTGAACGACATCCCACTCAAGCCGTGCCCGGTCGGCGGGCTGCAGGCGGAGGTCGAAACCCTCACGCGGGAATGGGATGCCGATCCTCCCACGTTTGCGCTTCCTGCCCCCGAGCCGAAAGAGTCCGGGTACCGATCGCGCGGGAACTTCTCGCGTGCTCCTCGTCCCGTGTCCATCCCGAAGGCCCTTTCGCCTCGTCTTGAATCGCTCTCTGAATCGCTCAAAACCAACGTCATCCCGACTCTCGACATGCTCTCGGTCCGCGAGACGTTCGCCTCCTTGCTCGGCTACTATATCAACAAGGCGCACGAACTCCGAACGACAAAGGAGGTCGTACTGACCGGCCTCAAGAAGTGGTCGGTCGAGGCTGCCGGCTTGGACGAAGAGCCGTACGTCAGTCCCGAATTCCTCAAGAAGCTCGGCTACAACGACGGTCGGACGAAGCGGCGAGGCACTGTGCGGCGAGAGTACGAGGACCACGGGCGCGCCGGTGCCTCTCCGTGGGAACGCCGTGGCCGTCAGACATCCGGAGGAGCTCGCGGCGGCCGCGACGACGCCCGCGGGGGTGGGCGCTACGATGACCGGCCGCCCCGGTACGGTGGCGGGCGCGACGATTACGGCGCTAGACCCTCTCGGCGGTTCGAGCAGGACAGCTACGGCTCGCAGCGCCGCGGCAGCGGAGGCGGTCGGGACTCGTATTGAGTACGCGTTTGGCGGCGGAGGAGCGGGAACCGCATCCTAACCCCGTTCACATGATGTATCAACACTTTAGATCACCTCTCAACCTTGTCCGTCGTGTCCCGCATCCCTTGCAGCTCTGTTGTAGCGCATAGACTGTCGTGTACAATCTCCAATCTCTTTCCGTTGTCCTCCAGAGTCGAGTGTGGGTACTGCTTTCGTTTCATTACATTGTCAATCGTACAGCCAAGTAGACGGAAGGGCACAAGCGGGGAAGACAGCTGATCGGGATTGCTGACGGCAGTATGGAAGGCGGGGCGCAATGGAAATGCAGAAGAAGGCCGACTCGCCGGACTGCCTCTCTGCGTGAAGCTCTGCTCGCACGAGGCACGAGTCACTCGTATCAGCGAGCGGCAACAGCGATGGTGCGCGCGCGCAGGCATCTGTGCGATCGGCGTGTTGAGACAGAGAAGGGTCACCAGGCAGCTTACTAGACGAGCAGGTTCGAGACTGGGTTGTTCTTCTTGTCGTTCTTGGCGCGCTTCTGCCCTTCTTTCTGCGGATAGGGGGTTTTGATAATTCGCGGACAAGAGCGGCGGGACGAGGCGAGCACGGGACAAAGTAGGGAGATGGTGGCGAACGAGGAGAGGAGAATGGTCAGCCCTCTCGCCGTCTCTGCCAAAGCGAGTCCTGCTGCATGTCCTCGGGACTTGAACGGGGATCTGAGGTGCGATGCGCCGGCTTCCTGATGGACCTCTAGGCGAGATCCGAAGAGTTTAAGGAGGCCACAATTTCGCGGAGGCGAGGGCATGGCGATTGACGGCGTCGATGGCACCGCGACCAGACTCGGGCGACTCACAGTCAGCTTCGCAATTTGCTTCCTGCGAGTGCGGCGCATGCGAATCAGCGCCCCGTCGCGAGCGAGCGAAGGGAGAAAGAGGAAGCGCACTTGAACCCCCAGCAGGTGGTGCATTCGGTCTTTTTGTGCTTCCTGGGAGAGCGAGGCGGGTGACAAGTGCGGGTCAGAAAGACGGGGCTCTCAGCCATGGAAGCAGCTCCGGCGGCGTGTCCGAAGTCGGCAGCATCGCAAGGGCCGAGGTCTTTTGCCACTCACTTGCACTGCGGTTCGCCGTTGGCGTTCATGGTAAAGTCGGCGGCGATCGGTTCGCGGAACGGCTCAGGGTCGACGCCAGCTACGAGTCAGAGAGTGGGTCCAGTGCCGCAGCGAGGTCAGCACGGCGGGACGGTACGAGGCCCAAGCGCCCGAGTGGCTGGGAGAGCAGGTCCAGGGTGCTGCGGGCGGGAAGACGTGCACGCACCGGTGAACGAGTTGTCTTCACCTGCGCGGCGTGCAACACGTGAGAAGCAAGAGTCAGTTCAATGCGAGCAGAACGGTGGTGGCAACAGGAAGCAAGGGCAGGGAAGAGTTGTTGCGGGAAGGGGCAGACAGACTGACGAAAATCGCATTGGGTGCTCTTGCACTGTTCCGACCCGCAGTGGGCGCAGAAAAGGTAGTCGCCGAGCTCGACGGAAGCGGTCGATTCGTTCGAAGTGACTTGCTCGAGCGGTTCCATGGGTGCGTTGTGAACTGGACGTCGGGATCGAAGCGGGGTGCGGGGATGATGAGAACGAGATCAAGAAATGCGCAAGCTACATGGCACCAGTCAGCGTGATTCGATGATCGGCAGAGAGTGTAGTGGCCTGCGAAAGAGGTGCTTACGATCGCTGCTTGTAAAAGTGGAGAGAGGAAGGAGAAAGAGAGAGAGAAAGAGACGGACGAGTTGATGAGCACAGCCGAAGGTGGGGCAAAGCGAGGCTCAAACTTGTCGAGGAGTCGTGTGACCAGAGAGCCTAGACCTCCTTGCTCGGGGCACAGCCCACAACCCTCCACCAATCAGTTGCGCCCAAATACACATTGGCATTGCGCAGCAGCAGCGAAAGCCTACGCTGTGAGGCCAACTTTTCTCAAGGTGCTCTCCTCCTCCGCTCGACAGCCACCAATCGCTTGCCCTGCTCGTTCGCTTCCCGCTCCACCTGCTGCTGCACCAAGGTCCGCACCGTCTCGGCGATCTGCGCGACGACGGGGAACGAAGGAATCGCCTCGTACCGCTCGACGAGCGTCTTTCTCCTCGCAGGCCCTCCTCCGCCGCCGTCCGCACCAGCCGAGGGCCCACCTATTGCCGCGGACGTAGGCGGCTGCGACTGCGGCTGGGCTGCATCGCCATCGTGCTCCATCTGTGAAGACGGAGCCTCGACGGCGCCGCCTTCGGCCGCGACGGCATCGAGCAGCTTGACCAACTCGGGGTCGATCGGCACCCGCCCGAGGAATCGGCACCCTTCGCCTTCCTCCTCGCCCTC